CGGTTGTTGGCTGAGCAATTATATTAGCACAAACCGCAATGAGTAAAAGGGAAAATTTTGTATCACAACTTCTGGGAATACTAATGAAATGGAAATATTTTTTTGTGAATTACTTTAATAAAAAATCCATTGAATTTCTTGAGCATTATTAATATTAAAAAATAAAAATTAAATTAAAATTATTTCTGTTTTTTTTTCATCTTCAAAAAATATTAATTTAATTTTTCATTTCAATTTTATTTCTAAAAGATTTGAGTCCTGCAGTGAATATTAGTGTATTTATAATATTTAAGGGAAACTATTATATTAAAATTATTAACGTGTACTACACACATGTAAACGTAGTATATACACACGTAATTTATAAATAGATTTATATATTTTAGGGCTCTTTGAAAAAGGATTTGTTATGTATTTATGTAAATGTATGAATGTTTTTTTAATAATATAATTTCAACATCACTTAGATGTGAAATAAAAATTTATGTGAATCTAGAAATTTCAATAATTTTGTGTTGTTTTTGTTTTTTTTTTGTTATTCTCTTTAACTATTCATTTTTAATTTAAATATATTTTCTCACAGCCACCCCTCATCCGGTTTGAAGGCCTAAATTTACAAAACATTTTAATATTGATATCCACTCTACAACGCTTTTAATGCTGCCTAAATGTAGGCAACAAATAATTTTGTAAACCTTTGAAGTATATAATATCTATTTCACTTTTTTTATAGTTGACATAAAATGTTGCCTACATTTGGGCTAATGTTTAATAAGAAGAAAGATAAGAAGATGATATGAACGTATAAGCCAAATTTATATTTTTTTTAATTGATAATAAAATAAATGTTTTTGGAATTTTGTATAAATTTTTTGTTGCCTACATTTTGGAATTTAAAAGCAATAAACAGAGATATGGAGCACAAAAGCATAAACCACTCATATTTATTATAAATATAAATGTTGTTTGTTGTTGTCTAATTAATTTTTACTTAACTTATATATAACGTTGCCTACTTTTAGGCTTATAAAGAGGTAAGAATTTTGAGTATTGGAAAAGTTTAGTAAAAAAATTCAAAATTATTTTTATTTGTATTCTGATTTAAAAATAAACATTTTTTTCTTATTCTGTATATACAATTGGAGAATGTTTTGGAAATTTTAAAATTTATTAAATGCACATAATCAACGCAATCACTATCACACACAACATGCATTTGTACATACATACCACACTGTTAACTCCAAAGCTGAAGTTACTTAAAATTCACCACACAAAGTTAAAAGGTACATCCTTTGAAATTTCGCGAGCGAGCTTACGTGCGTAATGTAGAGAGAGAGAAAGAGTGTGGCTCTCGCATAACTCCGACTCAAGAACGTCACGAGTGCTTGCACAATTCAACGAATGCTCACGCACCAAAATATGTTAACATACATATATATACATATTTACCAATGTCTACTTATATACTTATGTATATAAGTGTATTACATTCCATAACATTTTCAAACTGTTGCATCAACGAGTGCGCCTCGCTCGTCGTGCGAAATTGGAAATCTACAAAATCAGTGTGGACGGTCAATTGAAAGCGAATGGTTGCTATATCGCGACTGTTGTTTGTGTGAAAAGAAAGAACGGCATAACGTAGCGTTACGGTAAAGCGGTAAATATATAACATAAACTAGTTTAAAAAGGACGCTAAAAGTTGTTTTTTTGGAGTAAATTTATCAGAGTAATTTTGAAAATAATATGCAAATATCTTTTAAGTGCGACAAAAAGCGTAAGTTAGGTTGCCAACATTAAACAGGTGGCTTATCCAAGCCTCACCTCCAGCAGGAAACTTTGAACTAGTACAGCATACCAGCGCCGAGTATAAATATCCTGCATAAATACTCGTATGTTTGTAATCATAAATGTATATACATATATCACTGCCGCGGCTTATAACGAGAGATTATCTACTTTGGCAAATTGAGATTGAGATTTTCACCACGCACACACGCACACACAAGCATTTCGTTGGAGCTGTTTACACTCGCGCCTTTGCCAGCTGCCACACGCTTTGGCACTCGCACCATAATCGCTAGTGTGTCAGGTCACTGCCATTAAACGACGAACAGTTTGCTGTATATGAAATATATTTGTATGTGCTTGTTTGAGTTGGAGAGTGCAAGTGAAGTTGTGACGGTTACAAACGTACATTCACATATTCTTACACTCGTAAGCCACTCGTTAATGTCCGGCATTGTTCGAAGCTGCTTCAAAGCAGTATTGCATATGTACATATTCAACGGTAAATAAAAAGAATATATTCGTTGACTCGTTCAACAGTTTCTTCAATTTCGTAGGTTATCCTTAGGAGTTTGCAATTGGCATTTTGACATTTATAACTAAGCTGCTGCTTCTCATTTTTCATGCTGTCGAGATTTTAATACAGCGCCCTCAACTGAAATCAACGCCGTACTCAACAAGATAACGAACGAACTCACGAACTCACGAACTCACGAGCTCTTGAACGAATGATTCAGTGAGCCATACGAACGTACGTACGTACGAACGAACGTAAAAAAGTTGCGTATATGTTGTGTTTGATGCTGGGCTACTTCACCAGCTTCACCTACTATCCCATGCGAGTCGAACAAATTTGAACGAACAAACGAACAACTCGCCAGTTGATTCGTACTGAACAAACCTTGCGATTAGGGCGACACGACACGAAAACCCTCGTAAATTGTTGGTTGTTGAGCAGCAGTGTGACCGTGGCTCATTCACGCCGGAACGTTGCGATTGTTCGTGTCGTAAAGGTCGCTTAAACGCGTTTGTTTCTTGCGTATCAGTGTTGGTGGAAAAGTGAAAATAATTTTTAAATTCTACGGCATTTAAAATTTTCACACGCGGTCACTGGCATACACATACATATATACTTACAAACGCGTATACTTGCATGCAAGTAAAATATTACGAGTGTGCATAGTATGTACACATGTTTGTAGGACGTCATTTGAGCTTAATGTGAATGGAAATGGAGCATTTGATTTGATATGATTGTGTGGCGCGCGAGATATTTAAGTGAAACTTCCCGAGTGTGCTGTTAAGTTGTATAAATAATTAAATGCTATACTTTTAATAACAATTAATTACAACTAGTAATTGCTGTGACGAAGCAAAAAAAAAAGTGAGGTGAAAACTTTAAAATAATAAAGAAAAAGCGGAAGTGTTAAATGCGTGTGACGCGCGTGTGTGAGCAGCACCAAAGGTGGGTAGTGTGTCGTGATTCAATTAGAGGTGTTGTCGCGCCTAATGAGTATTTTAGCGACACTGCAAATGAAAGTAGAAACACCGTTAGGTGTGTGAAAAGTATATGCATACACACATACATATGCACGTACAAATGTGCACACAAACAGGCACTCCTGAATGCATTTAGATACATAACTTTTTATTGTGTGTTGAGATTTCATGCCAAGTGTCGCATTTAAACAACTTTACTGTCAATAAAAGTACCATTTAAATGCAAACAAATCTAAACATACACATAAGAGATAGTAAAATATTGCATTGTGTGTGTGTGTGTGTGTGTGTGTGTGTGCGCGTACTGCATGGCGTATAAGTGTTCTAATTTAACCAAGTTTCGTAGCTACTACTGAATTAGCACACAGCAAGCAGACCTACTAACACATAAATGCAAAAACACGCACATATATATGTATGTACATACTACTACATACATTGTATATAAAATACAAGTAACAGCTTATGTGCCAAGCAAAATTGTTGCAAAAATATATTTGTTTTTTTTTTACGTTTTTTTTGTTATTTCTTTGGCAAAACACGCATTTTTCGGCCCGTGTGCGTGTGTGCGCGCTCGCCTAGTGCAGTGAATTTTTCATGAGCCAGCAGTATTTATGTTGCTGATATAGGAAGAGCAACAACAATACAAAAAAACCAACTAAAATACTAAAAATAACAACAAAAATAGAAAACGTACAAAGAGAAAGGACTAAAAACCGCGTTGTTGTTGCTGTTTTCCATTTTTTGCTACTCAGTGAAATATTTTCATTTTTTCCAACGTACTTACATATATATATTTTTTTTTTTTTAATAATAGATATAGTATTTTTCTTCGTTGTTGCTATTACTACTCACCGCCTTGACACGCATATTTTTGCAATTTACGCCATAATTCAATTCGTTTTTCATTTTCGCCAACTCATTTCAAGGGAGAAGGACAAAAAAGGAAAACAATTTTTTTTTTAAGGATATACAAGGCGCAAGCTGCAAGCAAACGTAGCATATTAAACGGCACTTATACTAGTCTATATTACATGCATATATATATACTCGCTTACTTTGTTTAGTAGGTACACCGCGTGCTCCAATTTTGTTGTTTTCTCTGCTGTTGGTGCGTGTTTGCATGAAAATTAAATTATTTACACTTGGAATACGTTGACGTGCTTTAATTTATGCGAAAAAACTGCTAGCTGTATGTAGCGTAATACATATTTACTGATAATGCTTTAAATTTGTGTGTGTTTACAGAAGGAGCAAACGTTTTGAAAGGTCAAAACATTATAATCGAAACGCGATTAAGTAATTCACGAAAAGACAAGGATACTCAACGAAAAGTGTATTCCGTAGAAAAAATAAAATATAAATAAAAAATATATAGAAAATTCATAAAAAATAGTTTAGAAAAGTGAAAAAAAGAATTAAATAAAAAATACAAAACTCGAAGATAGTAAAAATTCACAACAATAGCTTAAATTCGCTCATTGAAATTCCCAGAGAATATCAACAAGCTTCTGCAAATTTTATTTACGCTGCTAAAAGTATATTCCCAAATGAAGATGAAAGAAGAAAGCGTTCTTGCTGTGCTGAGGGCTGCTGAAAAATAAGTGAAAAAGCAGCAAAAAAAAAATATATGAAAATACTGCACTTTTGCGTGAAAAGCATTGAAATATAAATAAAAAGTAAAGTAAAAAACAAAAAAATAAAAAAAAAATAAAAAAAAAATAAAAAATTATCAGTGAAATAAAACATAAAAATCTAGCGTAAACGTAGTAAAATACAAGCAAAAACACGTAAAACAAAAGAGTATGAAAAAACCACTAGTGTAAAAACCAAAAACACACTTTCACATTGTTTTCAAAGTGTGCTGTGCAAAACAACAGGTGAACTTTTCAACTTAAATATTAACCTGCGTCTCTGAGGCAAACAAGTACAAAGTTACTCATACAAATACATATAGACTCACGGCACAGCCACAATCGAAGGTGTACTACAGCAAGCTTGTGAGTGCACAAAGTTGGTGAGTGTCCTTTTGTTGTATGTTAGTCACTTATTTTTTTTTTTTTTTTTTTTGGAAAACTTTTTCTTCCTCAGTTTTTTTCTTCTGTTGATAAGTGTATATACAGCTGTTTTTTTTACTACACCGCCTTTGTTTTGTTATTTATATGTGTGCGTGAGAAAGTAGTTTTATTACAGCTGAGTATTCGTAAAACACTTTAATTAATAGTTTGATTGTAGTGGATGTGTAAAGTGGGAACTTATTGTTGTTAAGAAATATAAGCTTGTAGGTGAATATTGGAAATATACAAGAGAGAAAAGTTTAAATAAAGCGATTTTCTTGAAATTCCCTATATCTCGTATATTTGCGCTCTGCTTTGCTACAGTAAAGTACCGTAGAGAAAAAAAGTATTTTTTTATAACTACACGTATGTTCGTTTAAGCTGGAACTTATCTCTCAAATTAATTAAAAACTAAATGAAAATTAGTTGAAATCTTTGGTGGTATTTTCGCGTTGCTCTGGATAAAAGATGTATAAAATTAGGCAAAGTATACTTGAATATAGGTAAATTTCTTTATCCAGAAGTTATGAATTTTATTTTTAAATATGAAATCAGCCAAGCTACGTATACGCACTGTGGTTTTAAATTGAGTTTTCTTACGGGGAAACTAGATTACAAATAAAGCTTGATGTCATCCGCTACAACCTGATGCTCTTAAAAATAATATGTGAAAGGTATTTCTGTTTATTTATAAAACAGTATGCTAACGCCTAAAAGTATGCAAGGAATTTAATAATGAAAGTAAAAACTATAAGTAGCCTAAATTCTCAAATTAGTTACTGGCAGATTACATCAGTTTTTGAGTAGTTTGGAGCAGTTTAACAGTTATTTATGTAAAAACAAACAAAAAGTTTGCAATGCTTAATATGAAGGGCACACAGCCTGACGCAAATCAGTCTCACAGATCAAACGTGTATTCCAAATGAAGAAAGAAAAAGACAAGAAATCACTGTAATTTTCATTAATTTTTTAAATTTTTAACTAATCCAACTTATGTTATGTTGAATCCTACAATCGCTGAGTCAGCACTGGTGCTCCTCTTAAAGGCATTCAAAATGGAAATTAATGTGAGTTTTAACTTATTGGTGGCCGAAAAAATAAAATGCAAGAAGAGAACTTTTAGGTAGTTATATGAATTACTATGCACTTCAAGTATTACACAGCCTCTTTGAATAGAATTTTGTAATGCCAATTGTAGACTCATAATCAACTGTCTCAAAAACCTCTAGCGTAATATTGTAAGTTTCAAGTGATTTAGATTATTTTTATAATAAGTGATTTTATATATTTTTAATTTGTTTTTTAAAAGAATTTTGGACTCACCGGTTCCCAAGACTCGACTCAGTAAGTTTCAAGTGAATTCGAAGCTTTTTAACTGAGGAAATAATGTTATTTTTAATAGATCAAAAAAAGTGTGTGCTCCCATTGACTTCAGCGCACTTGAGTTAGTTGTCGACTAGTACAACGCTAAATGTTTTCTAAGGTATTTTGTTAAAATACAATTTTAAAAAAATTTTTAAAACTTCTTCTAGAATTCTTCTTAAAATATTTTTTTTTAATTTCATTACACGGAATCGAATTCAGATAACTTGCAAAATTAAAATAAATTATTAGATTTACATGCAATTATAAATTTTTTTAGGATACATATATCCGTAATAAAAAAAGTATTTATTTTTATATATGAGGGCTTTTTTTGTAAAGGTTGAGTCAATAAGAATCAAAATTTTCTTTACTTTAATAAAATCAAAATTTTTTTATATAAAAAAAAACATCAATTGTTTAATGCATTAAAACATTTATGAACGCTTTTTAGATCATCCTGAAATTACGTGAGAGTAATATTTACTTGCATTGCAATCTGCCATTCCAAAGGCTCTGGTTCATATCCCGGTGCCACCAACATCCAAAAGTTATGGAAAATTAATTTTAATAAAAAATTAAATTAAACTTTAATTTACTTGTAGTTATAGAAAAGTTATTTTGTTTGGCCAAATAAAAATTTCCAAAAATTAATTAGGTTGATAAAAGAAAGGAAAACGAGTTTTTATTTTGCTATAAAAAATAATTTCTTTTTTATTCTTAAAAAATATTAAAACTTTAAAACGACTAAAAAAGTTATAAAGTACAAAAACGGAAGTAATAACAAAATATAATTGAATAAAAATGGTCCATAAATTCGCAAAATTAAAAAAAAAAAATTAAAAAAAATAGACGGAAAAAATATTTAGAAAAATTTAAAAGATTTTTCAATATAGCTTTAATGAGAATTATGAAATTACCTTAACCAATCTGGAAAGAAAGTCTCATCAAATATAATAACCATCTTTCAAAATGCTATTGTAATATCAACTTCTACACTTTTCTCAAAAAAAAAAAAAAAAAAAAAAAATGGCCTGCGTTCAGTTCTAAAAAATTGATAAATTTTTTATAATGTATAGATGAATAAACATTATTGAAATGATACTTAGCATAACAAATTATGAAAAATAATTTTAGTGGAATTAACAATAAATAAACAACACTTGTTGCGCAACTATCGTTATATTCTTGAAAAAAATTCAACTCGGGAAATTTAAATTTTTCATTTAAGTTTAGTGTTTTTCCTACTATAAACTTGAAAATTTGCACACGGAAATTATTATTAAAGCCAATATGCATATAATGCTTCACAACGATTTATATCACAATCATTGTAGTACAACAAACTCAAGCATATAAAAATAAAGAGTAAATTGCAGCTTATTTTATAAGAATTTTTGTTGACATGCAAAGTCAGCAAAGCTTATAAACGTTATCTCTGCATAAGTATTATATTTAATTGTTCAATTTTTCCTGATTGAACATAACATGGAAATAAAATTCTTATTTGATAAAAATAGGTAATTTTTTTTTGACATAATAAAAAGTGCTGACTCATAAATCATGATGTTTTAATCATACTTAAATTAGTATTCAATTAATTACATTTATTTATAAGTAAAAATTTCAGAAATATTTTCCCTTTTAAATAATAAGCTTAAAAGTTTAATTACTTTTTATTTTCTTTGTGTGTCGTCGAAGTTAAAAAAGTGAACTAAGTAAGAATTATGTAGGAAATTAAGTACTGGTAAAAGTAGTAAAGTCACGTATACGCACTGTCGTACCAAAAATATTACCAAATTGATTGAAGGTAAAAGCAATAAAATAATTTTAAAAGCCACTAACGTTAGTTTCTCTTTTTCTCTTGAAATTATTTTCCATTACTTATATTACGCTTCCGAACTCGTTTCATACCCGCCGTTAAGCTCATCACTTGCCAAGTCAAACCTTGTTCCCACACTTATTAAATGGTAATCTGTAAACAAATAAAATTGACTTCTTTTTAATTAACCAGTCTTACGTGATTAACAGCCAACGCGCCATTGTCTCCATGCCACCACATCCGCCTACAACAGCACCTTTAATTAGTGATATTGTTTTTTTTTTTCTTAATTTTCCACATTCTCTCGCCATACAGGCAAGTTAAGCACAATAATAATGACGACAGTGGGCTATCAGTCCCAGGCGTACTTCCGCTAACACACTCACACACACATATATACACACACACAAACAAACACACGAGCAGACGCACATGCACAGAATGTCCTGCTAATTTTTCATATAACAAAAAAAAAAAATTACGTGAGAACAAAAAAATTCAGCTGAAGCTGTCAACCGTTGAGTTTGTGCATGTGTGGGAATATATGTGTGTATTTTTTTGTCTTCGTCATTCATTTCCTGCATTTAATCATATTAACCCGCGCAAATAGAGTGTGTGGTGTGTTTGTGTGTACATATGTGTGTGTCTGTTAAAAATTGAGTTTGGCCCTGTTGGCGTGCGGGAGTCATCATCACACATAATAAAACATTTAAATGATGGCACTTAATTTAATTGTTCCTGCCGTTTCATCCTTTACAATACGCGTGCGTTTGTGTGTGTGTGTGTATGTTTGAATTATATGAGAATGTGGCTTTGCTATGTATTGTTCTGTCAACGCTGGTTGCTGCGGTCAAGTGGCACAAAGAAAATAAAGCATAAAAACACGAAAGAAGCATTGGGTAACAATAATAAAAAATTGTTATAATAAGAAAGTTAAAAAATAAATGAAATTTAAATATATAATAAAATTATCACTCCCATAATTTAAGTGCATTGCCTTCAGCAGTTGTGATAATTTTTCTCTGCAAGCATTTGTATTAAATATATATATACGCTGATCGCCAGCACGAAAAATTGCAAATAAAAAACAAATTAAATTAATAATTACGCTGGAAATTGTTTGATAATTGCTGGGTGAGAGTTAAATATAATATGTGTTGCATTATTTATAAAAAAAAAAACAAATTTATTAAAATGAATGCATTTCATTGTAAATTTGTAAAATTTTTAGAAATTAATTAAAAAAAAAATTCCTTGCTATAAACTCATATATATGTACATATACATGTCACGTGCAAATATTTTCACATTTAAATATATATTATATAGCACATGTCGAAGTATATGGTAATTGAGGGCAGCTGTGTTGCGTGTAACCAGAACTCCTGCCGGTCGCAATGACCACAACAGTTTAATGCTGTGGTAAATGTGACTTTTACCAAAAATGTTTACTGGCACGCAAAAACACATTGCTGAGTGGCATACATGTGAAATTATATTTTAAACTTTTTTCAAATTCCGACATTTTTTTTTAAATGAAACAATTCAATTTTAAATCTCAGCAATTTGTATACAAAAAAACTTTTCGACTTTTGTACGCTTTTGGTATTTAAGTAGTAAAGCTTATGATGTAAGATAAAAATGTTTATGCGTCAAGGAAAAGTCTTTCATAAATTACATCCATATATTACAAAAAAAAAAAGAACACCAGTGAATATTAGCTGTAGTGAAAATAAATCCATTATTTTTCCAAACGATGGCGTTGTTTATCTATAT